GSYTWAGTARTGTTTAGAATATCATTYGTAAAAACTTAGTTCAACCTCATATGYTTCATGGYGTAAATCTGGATATAATTTAACACACTTTCAAAGGTTCTAGCACTGATTCTTTGGTGTCCATGCATGATACTTTATCGTCGYAGCAATCGGATGCTAATATTGACATTTTTTAATTACTATCTTTCTTTGACCACATATTTACTTTGTTGTATATTCGGAAAAGTTACAATTCATTTCCTACAACTACCATTGTGGAATAACAGTATCGCAATTTTAAAATGTTTTCGTACGTAGGATTCATTATAAATATTCAGTTTTGTTTCTTCTACGTGTGTTTTAATATTCCGAGCTTTCGGACAACTTGTCCATCATCAGGGCAAAATGAAATTACAATGCGTGCGCGAGGATACAAATGTAAACAAAACAATTGTTGATTTGTATTTCAATTCACAGTTTTCAAGTGTAGAACAATAGTGCTTATGATAGAAGACAATTTTACCTAAACCCGTGAAATAAACTTTGCTGTATTAATCATTATTCAATAAACTTAGGTTCTTTTGTATTTGTTTCACATCATTATTATAAACAATTTATTACACTTCGATCAATACATTTTGGATTTACGAACGCCATCTAGCGTGCGCTTAGTCTGGAGCGAATAACCAGTCAGACACTATCAATGACGCTAAAAGTTATTGAAAATATTTCTTGTGATTTYGTGACTATTAAACACATGGTATAATCTACTTCCTCGTAGTACTGAAAAGCGACAAACTGGACCTTTGAATTTTGCATCCATTATTTTTCGTATCATTGTAGCACGCTTTGCCTGAATTGGGTAGTTGCACGTTTACAAGATTACCTTGGATGCGTGATACCACCATACCTGACCTCGCTGTATTAGATAAACACATTACGTCACGTAATCCGTGGAATTACCTTAATAGTAATTTTTGTTAGTTTTATTCAAGAAAAACTACGTAAAATACTCTGCGAAATGCAAAGATTTTAAGTTAAGTGAACGTAATAATTCTCAGCTGTTCTTTAGAAATTGTTAATAAAAACTTTCATGTTCTATAAAAGACATGTTTTGCGTGAAATTTCCGAAAGAAGCTCTACGTTTGGTAATCAAAAGGCCATCGATTCACGACGGAATCGGAAACAAGCTAAACTCAAACGTGCTCGATTTAAGATTGTGGTATTTTCGTCTGCCAATAATCCGTATCCGTTCCAATATTTTTCTATTTTTCTTGCCGCTTGGTGAAACGGAAACTATTCGGTGAAATACTTGCGGAAATGCTTGCGGAAATGCTTGCGGAATTCTGCTCTAAGGATGCCAAGTAAAACGTAACCTCAAATTAGAATACGAATATATAAAAAGTGAGAAGAAAAAAGAATGAAAGAGATATACTCCTTCTAAGTACTTCCTAAACCCATCTCTTTCTTTCGTGTCTAATGGACTATTGTGCTGCAAAGTATTTGCTATTCTCGGCGACAACTTTTTTTGCAATAGCTGCATAAATATGTAAAGATTAAAAAACCCCGAAACCTATAGATTTGTAAATATAATATTGATATTTTATTTTCAGTCATGAGTAAGATAATCCTCGTATGGGGTATATTATTGGCTGTAGCGTTTGCTCATGCGCAAGACAGCTGGCATGACGACGAGGAMTGGTACGAGGGTTCTGTGGACGACGTCGACAGTTTCATGAGTGGAMYTGGGACGRTCAGCGGTATGGAAGAGACCCTTGGGGGTGGTAATGTCGATGAATATGGCGAAGACGAAATAGGCATTGAAGACCACGACTTAGACAATGACTATGATGATCATGACTATGATTATGATGATGAAGATGATTTTGATGATTTTGATGATGATTATAGCGATGACGATGACGCAGGTTTCGAATCCAAGACACGCAGAAGAAGTAGACGATCAGCTAAGCGTAAGTATATCCTCAAGTTTCCAATCGCTGAGACGTACCTGATTAAATATAAATTGATCGAAACTTTAAAGTCCCAGATGCATCCCATGGATATTTATTTATTGTATATTACTTTTGTAGCTTGTAAAACTGGTTGCAAAGTGTGTGCTCCGTTAAAACTAAACTGCAGAGTATGCAAGAAAGGATATAAACAAAGGGGTGCCGGCTGCATTAAAATAACACCAAAACCTTTACCCCCAACACCTGCATCACCGAAAAACGTACAGCGTAAGTATTGAAAAGGGCAAAAATTATATACAATGATATCAAAACAAGTAGAAACCTACGAAAAGGATTACGAGAAGATTTATCATTTTACTAAGTGCATATTTCGGCCTTTATCCAAAGTCCATCGACTGCATACTGAACTTACATGAATAATTAAAATTAGTTATGATAAATCTTCTCGTAATCCTTTTCGTATTCAAACTATATGCCAAAATAATATATTTAAGTAAAAACTGAACATACTTTTCTTACTTCCCCTGTGTTCCTTATATCCCTAATCGTGCTCATATCAAATATATTTTGGATGTTTTGGCAGAAGACTGGTAAGTCTGAATCTGATATAAGCATAGTCATCAGCCAATCAAAGCACGTTTTACATCAGCCAATAAGAGCACGTTTTATATCTCAAATATTCAAAAATATCTTATATCGTCAAGGTTTATTCAAAAACATATTAAATTGAAAAAGAATATTTATTGAAATGAAGGCAGGGAAATTATTAATAATAATAATAATATATTATTAATGTAATATAATCTGTGTATGTCATTATATTTGTAGATTGTACAGCAGTACCTAATTGTCTAGATTGCCCAGGAACCGCCATGCCATGGTTCCGCTCGTGCAAAAAATGCGCGAAGGGCTGGATGCTACACCAGGAAACATTTAGAACCGTATGCACCAAGAAATGCCCACAKGGTTACCAGGCAACGAATGRCAATAATGGATTCTTGCAGTGCAGTGCAATGAGACTAAGTAAGAATAAAACTGTTGTGAAACAAGACGAAACTGGACGAAACAACGAAAAAAATACAAAACGAAACAAAAAATAAACGAAGAAAAAACAAAACATACTGAAAGTGTTATACAAAACAGTGGAATTAATTGAAATAGAAGAACTATGAAAAACTAATGAAAACTGTACGAAACATACGAAAAAGTACAACAGATCAACCACAAAACAAAACAAAAACATGAACTAAGAAAAACAAAGCACCGAAAGCGTTGCAGAAAATAGTGGAGCTAATAGTGAAATAGAAAAACCATGAAAAAAAACTAGAACAAGAGGACAAAAAACAGAATACAGCCATAATGAAAAAATTCAATATCCAAAAATAGCCAAACCACACAATGCAGTTTTAAAATTGAAGTTGAATTTTTTTTCTAGAGTGYCCTAAAATGCCTGGATGTGAACAGTGCCCTACAGATAGATTGTGTACAAAATGCGCTGGCAAACTCATTCTTTATGATGACGTCTTATCCTCAAAATGCGTCAAAAAATGCCCCTTTAGCTACAATGAAACGGTCAACAAGAATGGCATAAGAGTTTGCAAACAACAAGGTCAGTGGAAATTTCAACCATAGAATTATAAGAAACACTTATGAATGTATGCTAAAGTTTAACTATAATATAGAGATGTAGTCGACCGACAACTGGTCGTTATAATAAGGTTTGTTTGAGGAGGGAATGTAAATGTTTGAATCATAAAGGTTGGATATGATGATACAGTTGATTCATAACTAACTGGTCGACATAAAAAGATTTAAGTGAGAAATGTAGATAAATGTTGTAAAATCCTATATTGTCGATTTCTAACTGGTCGGAAAATGCAGAGATGTGGTCGATTTATATACCGAACGGTCGTTGTAAAGCATTAGTAGGCTAGTATTCATTCTATAATAAATATAACGGTCATTTCAACAGACGGCTGCCGTGACCGACTTTGCAGTTCCTGCAAGTCTGGATTGTTCAGGGCTGACTATAAAGGAAAAGTTTGTCACAAGCAGTGTCCTCCCGGCTATAGAATCTTCTGGAGCCATTTTTGCAAAAGTAAGTCGATGAAATGACCTCATTTAAGATGACCTCATTTAAGATGMACGATATCAAAAGTGRACTAATCGACTCTTTCTTGCKGTGTGTTTAGAGTGTCCTACAGGATGTAAAACGTGCAACAGTGCAGGTTGTCAAGTATGCAATAATGGKCTCTCTTGGCATGCAAAAACAACATTTCTGGGATTAAGTCTTGATAGGCCCAGCTGTGTAAAGAATTGTCCAAATGGTTTTAGAAGAGTATTTRTCCAAGGAAAAGGCTWTGAATGCCACAAAGGTATGAAGAAAATAAGTATCACACAACGATGATTTTCCAGGAACACTTTAAAAGGGCGTGGCACTTGCAAATATGATCGACAGTCTGACGTAAAAYAGWGGAAGCAACTAACTCAATAGGTTAAGAAAATATCCAGGRATTTCTGGKGATKGTTTCAATYGGTAAAAYCCTGCAAAATCTGTCACAKAGGAGCCACAGAACAGGCAAAAGTAGAAAGAGTACAAGTTTTGGRASAGGGGGSTGGGGGTGCGCACCTTGTATGTATCAACKACCCCGCCCGGTCACTGTCTCTGGTCTTGTCCGTGTCACATGCACTGTGCCTGTGATCTTGCACGGRTAACGCAAGATTTTCAGTTTAAACGCATAAAATTTTACTACAATTTCAAAATCATGCATGTGYCGTTATCTAATTTTTAAGTTTCAAAATTTATGCTTATTCTTTGTCTCATTATTCTCTTTGTTCTATTGTTTATTTATAGTTCCAAAGACGACAAAACCTGGAGACCTGCCTTAGAAACCAATGCTAAATACATTCATGCAGGCACCTSAAGATTGATGGACACGTCTGTATTACGGAAGCCTCTACTTACGGATACGTCTTTATTACGGAAACTTTTAAATTACGGATACGTCTATACTACATATACTATATATTATATTATGGACACTAAAATACGGACACGTCTACGTTACGTGTGTACACGCCTTTAAAACGTACACGCCTATAATAGACTAGCGTGTGAACATATCTGAACATCACACCAGTAATGACAWTGCATAAAAACCTATATACTACGTAAACGTCCTTAGTATTACGTACGAACTCTGTCTTGTGGACACGTACATGTATTAGGGACAGCTTTAGTTTTCGCTATATTATTCGTTAGATATCAGTAAAATATAGACCAGCATGGTTGTAAATACATAGATTAAATTACAGCATTAGCTGAATTCGTACAATTCGATTGACTAAGTAAGAAAGACGAAGTTGCAATGAAAAAATAAAAAAATGAAAAAATTATGAACGATGTATTGTATTATCAGTGTTGTCTGCATATTGACAGTTTTCTTCATGGTTCCGCCCTGCCGCCATCTTGAAAGGTAGCCCTGCCTTTGCACCGAAGCAAGGCGGACATGTTGGTGTGATTAAAAGGTTTCTATCATTGCACGTTCAACTCCTGTCTCGCTTTGGTGCAAACCCTGGCTAATTTTCAAGATGGCGCAGGCTTCCCCGAAGGAGACTATATTGCTACTTGATCCCAGATCCACTAGTGTGCCCTTGCAATGCACCACACTCTATCAATATCAATCAGCCTTTGCTCCAGCTTTGTGGTACACTGAAAATTTACGCAACAATCACTAACAACCGTTATTGAACCAAACAATTCTCTTGACTATTACTTGAATAAGATCAAAATCCASTATTATTAATAAAGGTTTGTAGAACATCTATATTTATCAAAGCCACAATGAGCCGATTGATTAGTCTCGTGGTACTTTATTAGTCTAAACATAGTCAMTAATCAGTAATCTTGACGAGCGTAGGCGAATGTCATTAAGTTATAACAAAATTCCCCAACATGAATTTGCCGAAAAAGAAGTCAATTCCATGTAAATCATCCAAGAGCCCAACCCACTCAACCTCTCCATTATCAAAATTATAAATTATTAAAAGCGAAAAGCGCAAACTGCTCAATAAGGAAATTGGATAAAGAGCACAGTTTTGATTGCTAGAATGTGACTGCAAAGCAACTTCATTAAGGCAACTGGACTCCAGATGGAGGACCATGGAGCAGTATTACCATGAACTGCAAGAGGTCTAGACAGACGATTATCGCCTTATTAAAGAACGCCTTGTTATCAYGGACAGCCCGCTGGACAGGACATTGTAGTACATTGATCCGCGATGGGAAAAAACACCGGACAAATTGTGGTAAATATTGGATGGTCGCAACTCTAATCTGCTAGCGTTATTTCTAGAATATATACAAGACTTTAAAGCCTTCCTTTATATGATGCTTTACTATTGCATTGCATCATTCTATACTGAAATACGGCAAAAAAAGTGATTGCTTCGGTTATCTTTCTACTTAACGAAAACAAACAGAACAAAACCACCTATAGCGCATACACAGACATCAAACATGGCGAAGCACATATTAATTATAGATCATTCTGTCATTTTACGTTAAAACCTTTGCTAAAGCAATGGAAATGGTTGATTCATAGTATAACATGAACTCTTAGTGGAAACATGTAATGCTTGGAACCAAGAAAAGAGGGAAGCAACATGAGAATGGGAGAAAATGTAAGGAAAAAAAAACTAATTTTGCATAACTTCTGAAAATGAAACCCCACGGATATAGTGGTCCACGATTTCTGAACTCAAAAAGTTTGCTTCAACGCGCGTCCTTAAAGATTTTTCCATTTTCTTTAAGGGGGATGAGAAGTCTACCCGAAAGCTCCCTTGAGTTTTGCCGTGACAACAATGAAAATCGATCAAAATAGTTTGCGGCGGCCTGAGGTTTTCCYGATTATCATAAAAGTCCACATCGATCATCTATTCCATGATAATTAAATTATCAATACCCTTATCTGCAAAGCAAATTCTTATTTTATCGTTAATTTTGTCTTTTATTGTTRTAATGATTTATCATAGAGCGGCTAATGGTTTGATTGCATGTTGTTTTCTATCATTCTGGCTCTCRGTTGCGAAGTCAAGAGCTATACCCAATAGTCAATTGAAGTGAAAAGTAGAAAAGTCAAGCCCTAAGGGTGCATTACCAGGTAAGAATTGTTTAGCTATCAATTTCCTAACAGAAGGTCATGTTTTCTAAAGATAATCATTATAAACACAAAATAGCCTTGTACAATAACGAATACACGTATAAAATGAGTGATCTGTATGTCCATACCTCTTGAAAGTAAAAACCAAGTACTCAGGTTAAGATATTAATACCTGGACTTCAGCTTTGGTTACAAGACATATCTATGGTATATATTGTGTACAGAAAGCAATGTTTTAAGAGGCAAGTACGTCGGCATGTAACTCATTGCGCGCACTATGACATAGTGAGGTATACTACGACCACTGAATGTTCTAAACGGCTTAGTGTATAATCTTGAGTAAAATACATACTTGAAGAAAAACCCAATCTGGAAATGGAGTTCACTAGCTTCTATTACCATATATGTTTATAAAACTATGTACGGAAACCAATGCTTTGGCATAACAGATGAGAACACATGGCAAAGCGTGCGCGTTAGCAAGAAATTGAGTCATGACTTAAGTCCTGAGCACACATGTTGCCTGGAAAACGAGTGCCAGCCTCAATCCCTATATATATCTATAATACGTTTGCACAAGAACCCAATGCTAAGACAGACAGACAAGCATATAGGTCAACCACGGGAACGTTAGAAAAGAATCTAGACACTAATTCTTACATTGTGTAATGTCTGAGAGTATTGTATGTTATAGTTAAAAATCATTTATTATTCTTGTCTGAATACTAGTTTCCTTGAAAAGAGGTTTAGGATTTAATTCTTATAGACATTTGCGTGTATGTACAAAAACTATGCATTTGAAAAGATAAGTTCTACTTTAAACAATATAGAAATACAAATAGATGATTAGATTGAGACGCGTTCTATAGAAATTCCTCATTCTGCGGTTTCAAGAGATTCAAAAACAAATGATGAATTGTACAAAACCCTACGATGAATCATCGAAAAAACATCTGTACACAATTAACTGTACTAAACGTCACTCTACGAGCTCTAATTGATACTAATACAGAAATCAAAGTACGCTTTGACTTATCAATAAAGTGTTTATGTTTTTCTATAGCAATGTCGGCACTTATTTAAAACTTTACCAAGCATCATTCACCCCCTGTGAGGGAAATGATACCGACTGTAGATAAAGCATCGTGACGCGGTCCGTCGAACCGTTCGTAGAGTCGCATCTATGTCATCTATTTTCCAATATCCGTGTAAAGTTGATGATTTCCTTCACCGCTAGGACGAGTTTGTAAACTGCACAGCGGTATGGTCCATTCTCTAATATGTGATGTTCGGCGTGATTCGCTATGTGATTGACGAAAGTTAGCCTGCGTGCCGACTCTAGCGGAGGGGGGAATGGAGGCTAGACAAAAGTAAGCGAAGCAATATTGTTGTATAYCTCACGGTTTTTGCACGCTCAATTTTAATTCCCTGACAGACTGACAGGTATTTGAGCATATTTTAGTGAATGAAGTCATCCTATTCACCAACATCTTGTTATTCATTATATTAACACCACGAAGCCAAAACAAACATGACATCACTGTCAGGTCCAAGTAAAATTAAAGGAAAATATACAAATATTATAACAACGAATAGGTTGCCTAAAAAGGTTGGTTTACACTTGCGATTTTTGCAGCCCGGTTGTCGTGCGATAATCGCCACTTTTGCTATCGGACAGCTCAAATCGTACGTGTAAATATCCGATCGCCACGAAGTTGCAGCTAAATTTCAAGCATGTTCGAAACTCAGGGGATGGTCGCGCGACAATCGCGCTGCAAAAATCGCAAGTGTAAAGTAACCTGAAGAGAAAAGTGAATGGAAATCGGCACAACTGATAGAGACTCTTGTTACGTTATTGGACTCAACACTCAAAGCCAGTACATAGTTCAAAATAAAAAAAATCATTTTGACTCTTCTATGCCCATAAACAACAAATCCAACAGCTTGACGCTTAAGCTGGTCAACCAGCCAGGTTCACGATCTTTATTGTTTAAATACGGAATTTCTACATCTCAAAGACTCGCTGTGCACGAATGCCAGAAACGCAAACCCCAAAAACCATCTAATTGTGGAAACTAGGGGACCGTATACCTCCGACCAATGCTAAGAATTCACCTTTTGAGTTTTAGGGTTTACAAATGGTATCTCAACGATTAAGATCAATTATACTAGGGCTGTGGAGAAGTTTTGGTTTAACTTAGTTATGGCGAGGCTGACTGTAGATGGTTGACCACTACTAAGCAATCTAATTATACCACTCTGTACGTCCTTCAGTCCTTTTGACTTTAACCGAGCGAGCAGCACGCCGAGTGCAATGGCAAAATATCAAATTCTGTTAATATCGTACCTAGATTCTAACAAAATATACTTCTCGTGGCTAACAACTATCGCTGTTTTAGACAGAGTTAAGTCTTGTCTCGAGCCCAGTGTCTCTTTTGTCGTTTATGTCAGCGGTTTCTTGGCGTCAGAAAGAAGACGAAAGGTTAGGCTCTCTAATTGTGTGAGTTTTGACTTTTCATCGATATTCAATACCAGTTCACTAGTCAGGATATTAATATAATTGAAATCATGTGTGTACCGGCTTGTTAAAACCTAACACTACTTCCTCTGGTACGAGATAAAGCGATAAGAAATAGTAAGATWATGTCCAAACTGTCGGCAAATATCCATCACACGTACGCTATCGTATACAATATGTTTGAGGCTGAGTATGCGTGATGAAAGAATAGGTATTTGTGCTTAGAGACGAACACTTTTCAGAGCACAACACGAAGCGAGTGATCTCATTTTTTTCCGAAAAAGTCAAAAAGATGAGATAATATTTTCCACCATTCCCAGCATGCTTTATTTTTTAAATTTCTTCATTGCCTATGTATTGTGCAAGCCAGTCAAGGGGTATAGTCCCTTTATCTAAGAGTCTATCGCACCTGTTTTGACGCTTTTCATTGGCTTTGTCTGCGTTCATGAATTCTCAAAGCTCTTGACTTTTCATTGTTAAAAAAAAAACACAACACAAGGTAAGTAACAGTATAATATTTGTTCATACAAAAAAAGAAAACATTATTCATTATTCTAATGCTTGATTCTTTTCTTACACCTGCCGCCAAAAAAGTCAATTTTGAATTTTTGTCAGTGAAATATTAGAATACTTTATGTCATTTTAAAGTCGATAAAAGTACAAAAAGTACCGGCTCWTCGATAAGTTTATTATTATGACAGTTCATCACCCCCACA